GAGGCTTGATCGCTTTATATGATGAACAGATTTAATTTAGGCTTTTACTTGCATGTAAACATTGATCAGTGCACATAAGCTGAAGCTCAACCAAACCTGCTTCATGCGTGAGAACAAACTTCTTCCGGAAGCTCAATTGTGCTGCATAACACACGAGAATTAACCTCATTGGTTACGCAGCACATTTGAGCTTCTGGAAGAAGTTTGTTCTTGTGCGTTATTCATGTTCGGTGAAGCTTCTGTTTATATTCACTGATCAATGTTTACATGCGAGTTAAAGCGTAAATTAAATGTGTTTGTCATAACAAGCGATCGATTCTCTTCAGAAAATCTGTACTAAACTGCTCTATTCATATGGATTAGTCCGATCTCTTTATGACGTTTTTGAAGCTACAAAGTGGTAGTTGCAAAGGCAGTCTATGGATGACAGCATTCTGTCATCAAAAATATCTTAATTTGTCTTCCGAAGATGAACGAAAGTCTTAGATTTTTTTTTTCAGTCTCATGAGTCTCATGAACCTAATAACATCCCTCCCGACTGGTGTTAAAGGGTTAGTTCACCCAAAAATGAAAATAATGTCATTTATTACTCACCGTCATGTCGTTCTACACCCATAAGGCCTTCGTTCATCTTCGGAACACAAATTAAGTTATTTTTGATTAAATCCGATGGCTCAGTGAGGCCTCTATAGACAGCAATGTCATAAAATTATTTGTATTTACAGGCTTTTGCATTAATTAATTTTTACAGCTTATCCCTTATTGTGACATGACTTATTAGAGATGATGCTACATATTGTGATCATAAATCTTTTAGTTTTTTTGTATTTACAGGTTTCTTGTCAGGATAAACCCTGAAAATTCGAAATGCAAATCTGAGTTCCAGGTGAGCAGAAAGAGCAGGAGGATTGTTAGGAGGAAAACCACAGCCTTAAACCCACAAGTTGCATCTTTCATTAGGGAGTTTGAACAATATGACTGGCAGAATCATTAAGGTAAGAGTAATATTAGGGGTGTGCAACAGAGCCAATATCTGAAGTAATCTCAGACTTATTTGTGTCTGAATCTGTATTTAGAAAAATCTTAAAAATGGTGGAAACGGCCAGAAATAACCAAAAGTTTGTGAAAAAATTAGAAGTCTGTTTTAAAATGTAATTCTGTTCCCTTCACAGTTTTCATTTAACAAATATGCCTTGTATAACTCACAGAATTTTTATTTTTTTATTATAATTATAACATTTCTTTAAACAAGTTTAAAATAAAAAAATACCTGATTTCTGAAAGGCACACAGAAATGGCAATGCGGCTATTTGATTTGCAGTTGTGCTGTGCTCATTTCATTCATGGAGTTTACACTCATTTGTGTTTCATAGGGCTGAAATGGCCAAAAAATTATCTTGATAAAATGTTTCATATCAGTCATATCATATTAGTTTATATATTCATTAAATGTCTTTCCTGAGGTAAATGTAACATTGCTTGACATTATTGCTTTCTGTTTTGGCAACCAGATACATCACAATGTGAATTACTTTTAAAGGATTAGTTCACTTTCAAATGAAAATTAGCCCAAGCTTTACTCCTAGACTTTCTTCTTTCTGATGAACACAGTCGGAGATATATTAATTAATATCCTGACGAATCCATCATAAACATACTCCACACGGCTCCAGTGGGGTTAATAAAGGCATTCTGAAGCGAAGCGATGCATTTGTGTAAAAAAAAAATCCATATTTAAACAAGTTATGAAATAAAATATCTAGCTTCCGCCAGACTGCCTTCCATATTCAAGTTACGAAAAAAACGGAACTGGCGTCACGTAAGCTTTTTGAACTGCAAGAGTTTTACACTTACTTTGTAAGTTGAATGCGGAAAGCGGTTTGGCGGAAGCTAGTTATTTGACTTCATAGTTAAATATGGATATTTTTTTACACAAACGCATCACTTCGCATAAGAAGCCCTTTATTAACCCCCCGGAGCCGTGTGGAGTAGGTTTATGATGGATGAATGTGGATGCGTCAGGATATTTATTAATATATCTCTGATTGTGTTCATCAGAAAGAAGAAAGTCATATACACCTAGGATGGCTTGAGGGTGAGTAAAGCTTGGGGTCATTTTCATTTGAAATTGAACTAATCCTTTAAGGGCCACACTAACAATAAATACATTGAAAATAATGCATTATAAACATGTTTGTCATCATGTAAGCTTTTATGAAGCAAATCAAGGAGTGAATTGCCAGAAACGGGTATCTGTTGGGCATGATTCAAGTTAAAAACACAATGGCAGAAATATGTTATATTTAGTAAATCTTACTGAAAATAGATGATTAATACATTTACAGTGCCGCTTGAAAGTTTGTGAACCCCTTGCAGAACCTGTGAAAAATGTTAACAAAATATTTTTTTTATTTAGTACTGCCCTGAGTAAGATATTTTACATAAAGGATGTTTACATTAAGTCCACAAGACAAAAGAATAGCTGAATTTATTAAAAATGACCCCTGATTCTTAATACTATGTGTGGTTACCTGGATGATCTACAAATGTTTTTTTTTGTTTTGTGATGGTTGTTCTTGAGTCCCTTGTTTGTCCTGAACAGTTAAACTGAACACTGTTCTTCAGAAAAATCCTCCAGATCCTGCAGATTCTTCAGTTTTCCAGCATCTTTTGCATATTTGAACCCTTTCCAGCAGTGACTGTATGATTTTGAGATCCATCTTTTCACACTGAGGACAGCTGAGGGACTCAAACACAACTGTTAAGGTAAACATGTTGTTTTGGAGTGGATGTGGACAGTTGAAATATAAAACAAATGATCATTTGGAGTTGACGATCACGTGGGTGCCACTTATAATGTGCGCTTGACACAGAGATGCATGCTAAGATCAGGAAAGGCCAACCTGCAAGTAAATATCTAACTGACGTTTGAGGGTGCTTAACCAGACTTGCAGTGCTGGTGTCAAAGATCACTTTTTAACAGGCTCAGTACCATCTTTCAAATCTGTGGTGTGGGTAGGGGTGTGTGATATCACAAAAGTTCAGTCAGGACGGCGAAATAGCCCTGTGGTTAGTGTGCCAACATATAGCGCCATTGCACTTGCGGCCCGACCTGAGTTTGATTCTCGTCTCATGCAGTTATAGCATGTAGTTTCCAGTCACTATTGCAATATATTTTGTAATTGATAATGCAGGAGACATCAGACATTTCGCAGCGTAATTTGTTTCCAAAACAAATTACAAGGTTACATAAAAACTTTATTCTTCTTTTAAATTGTGGTCTTCATTTCAATTGTAGGCTTATCCAGAGGAACATACAAGGTGTTGGGGATGATAATATCAGTCTGCCTTGTCCATGGTGGAGTGGGACCCTGTGTGTTGTCCAGACGGCTGTTTTCACAGCTCTCAGGGATCCCTTCTCCACCAGTGACCATAGCAGAGGTCCATGACACAGAGCTGCATAACCAGCTGGACAAGGTACGATATAAATCTGTTTTTAGTCTTTTTTTATGATCTCAAAATCGAACTGTAATGTGATTAACATCTTAACTGCAAGGCGTTTTTTGTATTTCTATTTTTTAGGTCTGTTGAGTGTGTATAGTCTAAAAGTTTAAAATAGTATAAAGTGAAAGAAATGTAGACTGTAACAGACTTACTATGTGTGAGTGTGTGTTTATGTATGAGAGTTGACAGTTAAAGTTTAAAAGTAAACATCATCAGCTGAAAATTCTATCAGTGTAAGTCTATGGGATTTTAGGGAAGTTGAACTGACTATTTTAGGAAAACCGTAAGTCTGGTCCATTCGAAAAGATATAGCTCACTTCCTCAGACCAGTCTGAAGATCTGTGTGAAGTTTGGTGGCTGTAGCTTAAAAGCTCTAGGTTAGAGTCAGAAAATTTTGTCTCAGAAGAAGAAGAAGAAGAAGTAGTTTACATGCAATATCTTGAGAAAGCCAACATAATAAACTTTTCTTGCTGGCAATGTGAAGTATTATTCTAATGTCCAAAAATAGCTACATAATGGCAGATGTACTATAATAAATGATTTTGATATGTATACAGAAGTTAAAAAACAGGAGACTTTTGCTTTGTTTCAGTGTATTAACATGACAGTAACATTTGTTGTTATTATGTTGGCTTGAGAAAGCCAACATACTAATATTGCACTTAAACTACTTCTTCTTCTGAGACTAAATTTCAGAGACTAAGAGAGATGGATGGTGGGTGGGTGGGTGTGACATTTTCACAGATTCTGCAAGGGGTTCCCATACTTTCAAGCAGCACTGTATATTATAAAATATATGTGTGGGTTTTATTCTATGAAGATTAATTTTTTTTTTTATGCAGTACATGGATTTTCCTCTATTGGGTTTTCCTGCAGTTGGTGTACATTGTAAAAAAAAACAACTGAATATCCATGTATGCCACACAACATGTAAGCAGTATATACCATTGGCTATTACCCACCAAAATGTACATTGTATGTATGTTTACTTTTGAGTTGAAAATATTAATGAAAAAAAAAAAGTACAATTTCAGTCGATGCAGGGCCCTATGCACAAGCTTTTGCCCATCATTTAAAGGTGTTGATAATGTGAGTTTTTTGATGATTAGTTGTATGTTTGGCCTCAATGATTGATTTGTGCTCATCATTTCTTGCAGGATTATCAGAAGTGTGACTTTTTCCACATGACACCAGCCCTCCTCACCTGGCTTCATCCTCACCTTCGTTCTTTGTTCTACTGTGTTATGTAAGTTTGTATTTTACCCATTAATTTTTGCATGAATTGTTCACTGATTTTACTTATTAATTATAAATTGTTAATTAGTCGTGGTTAAAAACTGATTTTTATTGTTGCATTATATGTCACTGTTATTTTAATTCTTAATTATAAATAGTTCTTTAGTCTTGTTTTTTAAAACATATTTTATTGTTGTATTATATGCTGTTATTATTACTAATGTATTGTTCTGTGATTTTAATGATTAATTATAAATTGTTAGTTAGTCTTGGTTTAAAACAGATTTTTATTGTTATATGTCATTAGTCTTTACTAATGTATTGTTTAAAAATGTTAAATAAACTGTCTTCTTGTCAAGATCAGTCATTCCCCACCGCCTGCCTCGTTCTTCCAGAAGCGCTCCAGTTTATATTCAGCTGCAGAGAGTGTACTTTGAATGATGCTGTCTATGGCTTCGGCAGCAAGGGACGCACATGGCTGGCCACATCGTTGAAGTAGAGCGGAAGATAGCTGGGAACTTCTTCCCCAGGGAAAGACACAAGCTGGGCACCCTGACGATTGATGTGCTCGTAGAGCACCCAGACACCACCTTTCACTTTGTGGGAGGAAGCGATGCCACTGAAATCAATGTCGTGAAGATTGGTTTCTTTGCGCAGGGTCACAGTTCTTCCCCCATAGGTCGCGTCCTCAAACAGCTGGATTTTAGGGTCGTCCAGGTCATCTGTGATCATCTTGAGGGAAGAAAACTTTCCTTTGTCCTCAAGAGTAGCGTATTCTCCTTCCTCAAACAACCGCTGCTTTCCAGTGAAATTCTTGTCATAATACGCTACCCATGGTGCGCCAATGACTTTGAGAGATGAGATGACGTTGTTGAAGCCCCTTTCTTCTAAGTCGTGGACATCGTTCTTGAATTCAGCTGTTCTGCCGATGAAGCCCTCTTCAGTAAAAATAACAATCTTGCTCATTTTGAACAATAACTGGAGATCAGAGGCTGGAGAAGGCAAGTGCTTCTTAATCAGCTTCCCGTGGCTCTGCTGGGAAAAGTGACTTAAATGGTGCACAGAGCTGCCTTTTAAAGCACAAATACACCAAAGTGGGCGTTGACAAGGTTATGACAGTACATGTAGGTCTAGCAGCTGAGAAAAAAGGAACACAAGCTCCTTGGCTGAAAAAAATATTGTCATACATTCACTTTGACTGCTGCTCAGTTCTTACACCTTCAGTGATTATAACTGAATGAGATCGCAATAAACTAAGACAATTAACAGTTTTTCAGTGATTATAAAGGGAGCGCTCTGCGTGCTTTTTAGGCTATTATTCAGAATGTCAAGTCAACTTTATTTATATGGCACTTCATACAATACAGACTGTGTCAAAGCAGCTTTACAGTGTTAATTGTGTGAACAATGTTTAGTGTTGATAATGCAGGAGGACAATAACAAACAGTAATTTTTTTTAGTTAAAGTCATTGTTGATTCAGTGATGTCATCATCCAGCTTAGTTCAGTCATCTTCAAATAGTGTCTGTGCAATCAAGCTGACAATATTGCCAGAAATTAAGCGTCCCCAACTAAGCAAGCCAAAGGCGACAGTGGCAAGGAAACAAAAGTCCATCAGTGACAGAAATGGAGAAAAAATCTTGGGAGAAACCAGGCTCGGTCAGGGGCCAGTTCTCCTCTGGCCAGACCAAACCAGCATGGCCTGGTTTAATTCCAGGCTGCAACACAGGTCAGATTGGTCTTGTGCTGATGGTCGTCGAGGTGACGAGGTCTTCACAAGGAATCTGGGGCGCATCTAGTTGTCACGGTCTCCGCAGACATTCAGGGCTGTAGAGGTCGTCTCTAGCTGCTGATCCACCATCTGGTCTGGATGTGGGTGGCTACAGTGACCATCTGATCTGGATACAGACTGGATCCGTATGGCTACGTGTAACAGCTATAGAAAGCATTATGTTCATATGTAGAATTACACAAAAAGATGTTGAAATGTGTACCTGATATGTCTGTCTGTGTGTGTGTGCACCTTCCCCTTTAAATTTCTGACTGAAATGTTGATCCTAATTTCCTGTCTTTGCACCTCCTCTTCTCTTTCTGCACAGTCTCTGCATGGGAGAGGTGGGTTTCTAATGAGCTCTGATTAATCTAATTACATCTTTTTCTTTTAAATTACTTTTGTACTTAAATCTGTAATTTAAATCATATGAGACATTATTTTTCATATATATTTGATTATTTTTGTGTATTTTCATCAAGTTTGGTCGCATTGCTGGACCACATTTGTTTGCAGTGTGAATGCTCTAATCTGTTAACATGGGCACAGAAAAAAAGACACAACGCATCTGCACTGCAAACTGTAAAAAGTTACATGCCAACACTATAGTAAAAACAACTTTTTATTGTAGAAAATTTACTTTCGCTTAAATCAATTTCAGTTTCACTCTAATTTTAGCCAAACTTGTGTTTTTTTTTTATTTTTTACTGTCATCATTGTCACAACAATGGTGAATTTATGGCTGCTATGTGCGAGCTCCATGGTTCTAGTAAACCAGTTGCTTAAAATGATCAGTACAACTGGATTCCAGTGAAGCAGTCACATTATTTTACTTTACCAGCAATATTTTGTCCTTTTTAAAATCTTGGGTGGACTGAAAGAAATCCTTTTCATGCCAATTTAAATGAATATGCTCTAAAAAGCATATAATAAAATGACCATTTGAAATGATGCTTTTCATAAATACCTCTTTTTGTACGTTGACATTTTTCCAAAGAAATGTCCCTTTACCAACATTACTTTTTTTTAATGCATATTGAGAAACATCTATTCAGTGGAAGAAATTAAGCAATCTGTTTTGTAACTACTATGTCACTTCTGATGTTTCATCACATTACCCAACACTTTCACTAACCAGAAAACCCCCTTTAACCCACTTAGGTCCTTTAAGTGTTAGTTCACTTATCCTTTAAGTGTTAGTTCTGTCATCATTTATTCACCCAAAACTCTGATGCTTCAAAGCATTCATAAAGAGATTGGAAAAGAAATCCATATAAATCAAGTTTTAATCCAAGTCTTCTGAATAGACACAATCACTTTAAAAGACGAGCAGATTTCATTTAAGTTTTTATTCACATATAAACTCTGATCAGCAAATAATGTTTTCACCATTGAAATGTGGTCACAGAAGCTCAAGCATGTTTGCTTAACATGCAAGAACCAATCAGATTCATTCTCCGTGTCTCATGTTTGAGCGTCCGCAAGAACCAGTGAGGTCTGTTCTTACCAAAGTGAAGTCTGAAATCGCAGAGCACACAAACCAAGAAACATCACTAATCAATAAAACATACCGTATTGCCCCGAATATAAGACAATGGTTTTTTTTTGGAAATACATCTGAAAAAACGCGGTTGTCTTATATTCAGAGTCTAGACTTTGACATGTCAATAATACACCCACAACAATAGGTGGTGCCAAATACGCGTAAAACGAGTGTGCCATGAAATACGTAATGTAATGCGTGTTGTAAAGATCGCGAGTAAAAACAAAAGAAAAAGAAAAGCTTACAGCTGCATGAGTCGTGACTGTCACGTTAGCCTGATGGGACCAAACTCTCTTTGTGATTTTAAAATGTAAGACAGTACCCAGATTTGAAGACTACAGTAAGATTTAACTTCTACTGTTAATAAGATTTTGGTAGGCTACTATTAGATGGATAGCCTAAATGTCCCAAATCAGATGGGCTACCCTTTTTTTTTTTTTTTAATGGTATATCAAAAAGTGCCTATTTTTTAAATGTGATTGTTGGGACATTTTACCAGTTTTACCATACTTTTTTTAAAACAAAAATTAAAATAGGAAAAATATGCAATATGAAAATAATTGAAGACAAAATGTGTTTTACTGAGAAAAAACAAGATTTGGTTTTTAAAAAGACTTTTTTCAAAAGATTTTTTCAAAAGCCACAACACCTGACGTGTCCTGTTGATTGACTCCGCCAACGAATGGGAATGGCAGCGTAATCTGAAAGGAAGTGAGGTAATTGTATTTAAGGAGTAGTGACATGACTCTGGATGATCAGCTGTGATGCAACGTGATTCTGGATGAATAACTGAGGGGTGACGTGACTCTGGACGAACAGCTGAGACATGGCGAGACTCTAGAAGATCAGCTGTGACGTAACGAGGCTCTGGCAGCTCAGCTGAGACTTGACTGGACTCATGAAAATCCGCTGTGATTAGACTTGACTCATGACGATCAACTGCGACTTGACTTGACACATGAA